GAAAGTGGTAGTAGTTCTGTTGCTACATTAACCATTGGGATAATGCGATGTTATTTTGTTTATTCGAGTTACTGTGTCATTTCTCTCCTTTCATTTCTCTTATTTGTTTTAGATACATTTAAATTAAGAAAAGAAAGTCAGTCAGTTTTATCATGATCATGACTATTGGTTATTTGGAAGCTAAAATATTAACTTTTAAAGTGAACTTGAATTGACTTCTTAGAAAAGTAACACATATGTACTTTATACTTTTATATATTTTTTAAATTCTTTTAAAAAAATTTTTTTCCCATCCCTTCACTCTCTTTGTATGTGAGTCTTTTGTTCTGAGATGGGTCTCTTGTAACAGCGTATATTATGTCATATTTTTGTATATCCTATGTTTTTTGATTGGAGCATTTAATCCATTTACATTTAAGGTTATTATTGATATGTATTTATTTATTACCATTTTAATCCTGTATGCCTATATTTCTCTCTCTCTATTTCTTCTTATTACAGCAGATCCCTTAGCATTTCTTGTAGTGCTGGCTTGTCTGGAAAGCTCTTTATTTCACCATCTATTTTGAATGATAGCCTTGCTGGTGTAGTAATCTTGGTTTCAGATCCTTGTTTTTCATTACCTTGAATACTTCATGCCATTCCCTTCTGGCCTTTAGAGATTCTGATGAGAAATCAGTTGACAGCCTTACGGGAGCTCCTGTGTAGGTAACAAATTGCTTTTCTCTTGTTGCTTTTACGATTCTCTCTTTGTCTTTAAGTTTTGACATTTTAATTATGATGTATCTGCGTGGCCCTTTTTGGATTTCTCTTGTTGGGACTCTCTGTGCCTCCTGAACTTGTGTGACTTTCCTTCAGCTGGTTAGGGAATTTTTCTGCCATTATTTCTTCAACCTTGTTCTCTAGCCCTTGCTCACTTTCTTCCCCTCCTGGCACTCTTATTTTGTGAATATTGTTACATTTCTTGTCTCACATCACCCTTAAGCTGTCCTTCAGGTTTTAATTGTTTTTTCTTTTTGGTTCTCTGGTTGGGTGATTTTTTTCTACCATGTCTCCTAATTCACTGATTTGATCCTCACCTTCCCCTAATCTTATGTGTATTCATTCCAGTGATCTTTATTAGGGGTCTGTCATTCTTTATTTCCCACTGATGAGCATCTTTGCCATCATTATTCTGAACTCCATATCTGATAAATTTCTTATCTCCATTTTGTTTTTTTCTTCCTCTGGAGAATTCTCCTGTTCTTTCACTTTGGGCTTGTCTTTTTGACTACCTGCTTGGATTTGTGTCTGTGTATTAGGTAGATCTGCTATGATATCCAATCTCCAGTGCAGGACAATGTCAGATGCTGTTTCTGACTGGCTGTGAGTACTTTGTTTGGAGCTATCAGCAATTCACAGCTTGTGGCTCCCACTGCTGGGACTAGGTGCCTTAGGAAAGGAACATGATGGTACTAGGGTCTGCTTTTGCTAGCCCTGGGCCCAGAAGGCGATCAGGCAAAGCCTCAAATTCTCCAGAGATCCGCTTCTGTCCGCAGACCAGTTGACACTCAGTCTTGATTAGCTTCAGGCTATGGACCACAGAGTGGTATGAGAGGTTTTCCTACAGTGCCAGGCAACTGCCTTCCCCCAAGGCAAAAACCACTTGGCTAACAAAGGTCCACAGAGAAAGATGTCCTCCATATTGTGAGGAATGACTCAGCACACGAAACCGGGGTGGCTTCCTCTGAGCTCTGACCGCAACTCTAATCACACAACTCTCCTGGACTCTCCTCACACAACTCTAATCCACTCTGCCCTCCCTCTGCCAGAGCCCATGGTGGGTAGCTGCACACTTAATTTTTGTGCATTGGCCCTTTAAGAGGCTGCCTGCATTTCCAGCCATCTCTCCCTGGCAGACAGCAACCCTGCTGCCTTTCACAACCAGATGTTATTTGGGCACCTCTCTCACTTATGGTGCTCTGGGACAGGGAGCCCAACTTGGGATTTAGACCCCAGGGTTCTCAGTGGGAACCCCTCACAGCTGAGATATTCCTCCGGAACTTCATCTTCTGTCTGTGGGATCCTGTCCAGTGCTTTTGTGCCTCCACACTTCCTGTCAGTCTCTATAGGAAAAAAAGCAGTCTCCACTTTCCATCCTTGGTTATTAGGGTTCTCTCCAGCTAGTCTTCAGTTGATTTTTCAGGATGATTTTCTGTATTTTAGTTGTATTTCTAGTTGGTCCTGGAAGAGTTTCAGTGTAGTTTCTGCTTACTCTGCTGCCATTTTGGAATCTCCTTTTTTTTTTTTTTAATTGAAATTCTGAGAGCTTTATAACAGCAGTTCTAAGACCTTTAACCTTGAGGGAAGCAGTGCAGCCTGTGGTTTAGTGCTTTTATATGATTTCTCACCCTGGTATCGTCATTTTATAAATGTGGATAATAATAATAGCACTTCCTCATGGGAGTAGCAAGGATTAAGTGAGGCAGCAGAAGTAAAATGCTTCATATGGTGCCTGTTGACTAGCACAGAGACAACCCACTTTAACAAAGCACCTGCTGTGTGCCTGTCTTTGTGATTCAGATTATATTAGTCAGTGCCTCATTATTAGAATAAAAGTTCCTATTGCTGAGGATTTTGGTCAACCAAATAAATTAGAATTGCTATTGTTCGTAGTGTAAATCATAAATGATCACAGAAAATTCTAGCCTAATCAAATGTTCTGAGAAATTTAAAAGCTTTTTAAACTCACTTTTACTTGTGAATTACTTAAGATATTTTTAAAGGTATTTTTGTGTTATTTGTGTTTTGTTTTTATAAAAATGTCTCTTGACTGCATATTTTACTCACTCTGGAATTGTTGGTTTTCCCGAGGATTCAGTCTTCTGCCTGAAGTGATCATTGCTGCTTTCTGGACTTCAGCTCTTGTACCCATGTGATGATTACTCCCAGATAACTATCTTCAGCTCTCCTTCTTTTGACTTTCCAGTTGCTTACTGGACATTTCTGTGTGTTTCTTCCAGGATGTTTCTAACTCTACACATGCAAATGTAATTATCCTCCATATTTTCCTCACCTCACTTCTCCTGCTTTTCCTTGTCCTAGTGAATGGCATTCTCATAACCATCCAGCTAGTCATCAGAGCCAGACACCCAGAGTCATCCAGGCCTCTTTTTCCCTCATAACCTCACTTCAGTTAATCAAGAAGTAGCATTGACGCTGCCTCTGAAATGCCTCTGTGTAGTGCTTCTCTCTCTTTCCACTCCCGCTGCCTTAATTAAACTCTCCCCAGGACTATTTAAACAAGCTTCCACCTGGTCTTTCTGCCTTCTGGTTTGCCATCCTTTCCCCAGGCTACCTAGTACCATTGCCATAGTGATATTCCTAAAGCTTAAATGAAATGATCTTTGTCACATGTTTAGAAACTTCTTCTAGCTCCCCATCCTATATAACAAAAGGGTAAGATGTAAATTGACTGAACAGTGGAACAACCGGTCATTATGACGCGCACTGACCACCAAGGGGCAGATGCTCAACGCAGGAGCTGCCCCCCTGGTGGTCAGTGCACTCCCATAGGGGGAGCACCACTCAGCCAGAAGCCAGGGGAGCACAGTGGTGGTGGCAGGAGCCTCTCCCACTTCTCAGGCAGTGCTAAGGAGCAGTGAGCCCAGCTGTGAGGAGAGAGGGCTCCTGGACTGCAAGAGGGATCCCAGACTGTGAGAGGGCGCAGGCCGAGCTGAGGGACTCCCCTGAGTGCACGAATTTTCATGTACCAGGCCTCTAGTTTCTGTATAAGAAAGTACAACCTTTCTCAGTAGACAAACAAGACCCATCATTCCTTGTCCAAAATTTCTCCCCAACCTCATCTTTTGGCAGTTCTCCCCTTGCCTTCTACACTCCATCAGTACTGACCTTCAGTAGTCCTGTGATACTGTGTGACCCTTCTTACTTCCCTCTCTGACTAAACACCAGTTCCCTTTGCTTTCAATGCAGGCCCTTCTCTTCCTGTTGAATGAAGTTTTCTTGACTGTCTCTTCCCCTCCCCTGTCACAAGAACCAATCTCTTCTTTCTTTGTGCTATTAGAGCAGCGATTCTCAACCTGTGGGTCATGAATCCCTTTAGGGGTTGAACAACCCTTTCACAGGGGTCGCCTAAGACCATCGGAAAACACATATCTAATTACATATTATTTTTGTGATTAATCACTATGCTTTAATTATGCTCAATTTGTAACAATGAAATTGGGGTCACCACAACATGAGGAACTGTATTAAAGGGTCGCGGCATTAGGAAGGTTGAGAACTACTGTATTAGAGTATTTTTATTTATGTTTTCAGTGTTTTTAAATCCTTCATCCACCTGTTAGTCTTTCCCTCTCAGACTAACCTCCAGGTCAAGAGACTGTTAATCTTTTTAGCATTCCCAGGGCCTAGTAAGGCTTAGGCATTGGTAAACATTTAATAAGCAATATGAAAAATTGTTCATTAAAACAAGGATTAGAGGAGGAAGCAATATACTTAACAGAGGAATGACTAGTTCTATCAACTATTTTTTAAGTGGCATTTGGGAGAAAGTTTAGATTAACTCTGTGTGACTTTAGATGGCAGAGTTGATGTCCATAGAGACTTCTGCATCATTCCTAAAGAACCCAGTGAGAAATGCAAACCAGCAGTGCCATCCTGCCTTCATTTGGAATCCTGCAGTTGACACAATTTAGGTTATATTCCTGGCTTGGTTGCCAATTTGGTCTTTACTGGGTCTTATTTTCTTCGTTTGTTTTTGACAGAAAAAATGAAGATTATACCATAGTCATCTAGTGGTTTTGAGGACTAAAGAAACAATATTTCAGGGAGTTAGGCCTGACATCAAGTAGTGCTTAATACATGTTCATTGAATTCAAATTATTCTTCTGTTTCTAGATACTTTTAGTAAAACCTAATCTCACATTAAATATAAGTTATGTGTGTGCATAAACTGACAATATTAAAAGATATTCAATTACATTTTTTCCCTCTCAAAGATTTATCCATTGTACTGATGATTCCCCAGATCCTTGTATGGAATATGAGGTAAGAAACTTTTTAAAAATCTGAATGAAGTTGATATACCTACATGAAGAAGTATTGAGAACTGCTATTCTTTGGATTAATTTATTTAGGAACCTAGGGTCATTGAATTTTTAAATGTATTAAATATACATATAAAAATAAAGATTCTCTTTCTATAGAGTGTATGTAGACAAATATTGTCTCTCAGTATGCACAGGGAATTGGTTCCAGGACTCCTGAGGATGCAAAAACCTAGTTTGAAAAGCCTAAAAAAAATATTCTTAGAGTAATTAAAATGAAAAAAGATGCAAGCAGAATCCTATGTATTATGTGCTCTTGTCTGCATATATCTAAAAAGATTTATGCATACACTATATACTCACATATTCCTAGAATACTTCTGAGAGATATATGAGAAAATGACAACTCTGCTCGCCTCTGAGAAGGACAAAGCGGTTAGATGGGGAAGATTCACCTTTTTGTATTTTTTTAGTCAACCACAAATGTAGTAGTACCTGTCCAAAACATTATTTCAATAACGCTATGCAAATTTTCCAAAAATTTAATATTAGTATGCAACAATTGCTTATTACCTTTTTTGCTTAAATAAAGTTACCAGGGCTATAAAAGAATATATGCCAGCATAAGCTTTTAATGGATAAGAACAGTGTAATATTTTAGTTTTGGGTTCTTTATTTAATAATTAGGTTCTTTAAAAATAATTTGACACATTTAAAGCTTAACCTAGAATATACAATGATGAAATTTTAAATCAGTGCATTTCAGCCCTAGCCGATTTGGCTAGGTGGATAGAACATTAGCCTGTGGACTGAAGGTCTCGGGTTTGATTCCTGGCCCTGGCCCAATCCATGTGTCTCTCTCACTTCAATATTTTCTCTCTCTCTCTCTCTCTCTCTCTCTCTCTCTCTCTCTCTCTCTCTCTCTTTCTCCCTTCCAAAAATCAATAGAAAAATATCCCCGGGTGAGGATTAAAAAACAAAAAAAGAAACCAGTGTATTTAAAATTTCTAAGTCATATTTTAACCATGTAGTTTTTTAAGAAAAGCAAGTTATAAAAAATACAAAACTACAACGAAACATGAAACTGTTACCTAGATATGTCCTCAGTATTAGCATTTGAGGGTGTGGGTGTGTGTGCGCGTGCGCGCATGCGCATACACACTTCATAAAGCCATTTGCGTATTGTTTTCCCCCCACACTTATAGCATACTGTGGGCACTTTCTTAGTTCATTAAATATTATTTTTATCATGATTTTTAGTGGCTACTTATTTTACATATTTACTCTTTTATTTGGCAAATATTTCCTAAGCATCTGCCATGTATTACATACTTGTGCTGGAACACAGAAATGAATTAATTTCTTGCCCTTAAGGAACTTACTGTTTAGTAGGGATGCGATACTTATATCAAATTATCATATAACAACATGGTATATATGCTTGCTAAAGAATGTCATGCACAGTTAACTTTGGGAAGAACAGGATGTGGGGAGGGAGAATCCTGAGTCCACTGGGGGATTTGGAATGGCACGGAGAGTAATCCAAGTTCTGTCTCACAGGTTTTAGAGGGAAAAGAGCAGTATGACAGGATAAGGGAGGCTGGAGACACTAACCATTTATTACAGTTAATGTTCTCCAAAGAACATTTTAAAACAGACTCAAAGCATACATTTGTCAACTGTTCTACTTATAAAATTGTAGCAATTCAATAATGTATAAGTAGTATACTAAGTAATAATTACAGTATTAAGACCCATATATGACTTGGGTCACTGATATAATTGTTGTTTTTTTTTTTTTAAATAATGCCAACATCATGGAAGGGTTATAGTGATTCTTTGTGTAATAAGCCATAATTATAATTTTAGCAGAGTACGTGTTATGGAATGATGTTTAAGGTAGATAATTTGAAATTATTGTATTTTTTATATTCTTAAAGGAGAGAAGAACATAGGAATTACAGGGCCACTTATGCCACAGCAGTGATAAAACTTGACTTCATCCTTGGGGGTCTATATTATATCGGACCTCTCAAAACAATAAATGACAAAGATGCATTTTGTCATAAAGAATTTAACACAATCTCCTGCTTATTAGACTAATAGATCACAACTCTGTTCCCTGTATCTCACATTAATGTTTTCTGATACCTCCTTTTTAAAAATATTTAATAATGGCAAGTGTTAAGACAGTCTGGATATAAATTTGTCTATTAGACTAGTAAACATCCCTTGTGATATAGTTGTGTTACATTTTTTCCTTTTTCTACAGCTTGTTCTTCGAAAATGGTGTGAATTAATCCCTGGAGCTGAGTTCCGATGTTTTGTCAAGGAAAACAAGCTTATTGGTAAGTTCTTTTACCCTTGAAAGTAATTGTTTAAAAAATACAAGCTTTTGATGGAAGGAAATTTCTAGTAATTAGGAGAGGGGTAGCGATCAGTTTTTATCTCAGCCTCTTCCTCTAACCAGTCGAACCGACTTTGAAATGCTGAGGCCATTTTCAGTTTCCTCAGAACATAGTATTGTCAGTTCACCATGTCTGGATTCTGGGTTGAAAGTGAGGGTCCTTATTTCTCCCAATTTAGGATATGTCTAATGTTACCTGCTGTCTCTTTGAGACTGTACTAAGTATTACTAGCTTTACACTGCTTATTTTAAGCATCATAAAAAGTCAAGTTATTTTCTATTATTGGAACACTGTTTATTATTCTAACAAGAGAAAATATGTGGACAAGTAAGTGCGTTATTTTAAAAGCCACCCATTTTCTTTCAGGTTATTTTGTTTGCTATGATTAAATTAAATATGAAAGATAATTTGCCCTCTCTTTTTTTTTTGTCTGCATGTTTTTCATGAACTAAAATTTATCTTCAACCAAGAAAAGTGATTTGAACAAAATCAAATCAATATTACTTATTTATTGAATATGATGTTGGCATATATTAGCTTACTTAAAAGAAACTTGATGTGTTGGAATTTATCATAATATTAGGTATTCCTGAAAAAGCTGCACTTTAAGTACAGCTAAAGAAGGGAGCATATTGGCATATGATTAAGAAATTGGGTGGAAGCCCTTCTTTTAGAACACAGAACTTTTTTCCTAGGCATAGAGCAAATTGAGGGAGTTCTTCCAATAGTCTCTTTAGTTTATTTAGAATAATATCAACAAATCACTCTGAAGAAAGGAATGTTTACTTTTCCATGCCTTGAAACATCAGGGTTGTGAAGGCAGGATAGCATGCATGAACAAGAAAAGTAGACTGCTTCTATGAAGTACAATATAAATATTAGAGACATATAGTGAAGAATATTTTACGTTTTCCCAAAGAAAGTGCAAAAGAATAGCAATTTATAGAGAGTTCATTGGAAAAATCAAAGAAAAGCAATTGATTATGTGTGCAGGGTAAAAATTGGATCTTTCATTTTTTTATTTAATAGGCATATTTATGGCTTTGAATTTTTCCATTATATTAAATAAAAATAACTACTATTTCTAAGGTAAGACTGCATGGCAGTATGGAACTATAGGATCCATATAAGCCTTTACAGCTTGTGTTTCTATCGTTAAATTAGTATTCTTCTAATTGGTCTTTTGATCTACTTTAATGGTTCTGTCAAGAAGAGTTTAAATCATATTTTGGTGTTTTCTGAGTATTATGTATTAATGGAATATAAAATACTTTCTTGCCAGCTATTTCTCAAAGGGATTATACACAATACTATGATCATATTTCTAAACAAAAGGAGGAGATTTGCAGATGCGTACAAGACTTCTTCAAGAAACATATACAGTATAAATTCTTAGATGAAGACTGTGAGTATTTGTTAATGACTCATTGAAATGAAATGAAATGCATAATGTTAATGAACCTTATCTCACAGTGGCACTTATTTTAAAACTAGAGGCCTGGTGCATGAAAGTTGTGAACTGGAGGCGAGGGTCTCTCAGCCTGACTTGCACCTTCTCGCAGTCGGGGATCCCTTGGGGGATGTCCGGCAGTCAGCCATCCCTCTCGCAGTCCAGGACCCCTCTCTCCTTACCGCCCGCCTGCTTGCTGCTCCTTACCACTCGACTCACTGCTCCTTAGTGCTGCCACAGATACCGCTTTTGGTCACTGCTCCTTAGCGCTGCTGTGGGGGTGGGAGAGGCTCCCGCCACCCCCGCTGTGCTGGCAGCCACGTAGCTGTAGTTGGTTCCTATTTATTTATTTATTGCTAAATTCTAGTCCATTTCATGCATGGGTATTCTACAACTTGTACATCTATCCCCTGCTGATGGATTGTCTCCAGTTTTTGACTATTGTGAATAATGCTGCTGTAAAGATTTGTATTCAAGTCATTTTGTGGACATATGTTTATTTATCTTAGGAAAATATTACCAGTGG